CAGCAGTATCTGAGACATGTCTATTCAATCAATTTTGTTTTGTATTTTCTACACTCAATGACGTAAATTAATTAATGAATTCGAATTCGGGTCTGGATTTTTACTTAATCGCAGGGCATATCCGAAAATTCGCGACCTAGTCACCAGACGCACTACTTAAAAGAGTTAAAAGTCTAACACTTATAAAGATTGAAATAAGCGGGAACTGATTTTAAATTAAAATAAATTAACAAACTCTTTTTAACCGACTTCAAAATTAAATTTGCGATGTATTTTTTACACGACTGTCCAAAGAGAAGTAAGTGTATTGTGTTTAGGATGTATTGTGTAATGTATCAAATTTTGTCTCTACCGATTTAACCTCATATTATTAACCTTTTTTAAATTTGTTTTCCTTTTGTAAGATAAGTATTGTTTTTTCTTTTTTAAGAAAGAAATAACTGGCACATTCGTCTTTTTGATGATTAAAAATACTTTTTTCATGGAAATATCTAAACCGTACCGTGACCGTCCTAACGAGCACAACGCTGCCTATAAAAATAAACTGTCATGCTTAAACCAAGCTTCCTTAAAAACTTAAAGCCCCCATTAAGTCTAAATTAGTACCAGTTTGTACGAAACTAATTAAAAGTACACTTCCTTTATTAAGAACATTATTTATTACGAGAAAACAAAACGAAAAAAAATAATTATATGTATATTTATAGATTTATTTGAATTTTGTTTTGCCGCAAAAAGTAAAAGGTTATTTTTCCTTTCAATCCCGCTGATTTAACTTCAATTTTTATATATTTTTTATAAAGCCCATGGTTCTATTTATATGTCTTTTATGGGATTAATTATTAAACTTTAAGCGCAACGGAGTGACGCTGCGACGTGTTTATTTCATATCAATATTGTTTCTGATAATTTTCCTAACGAATTGAATAGTTTTTTACTTATAGGTTATGTTATAAAAATTTTAAAGATCAAGCTTAACATATTATTGTGTTATTATCTATACTACCTACTTCCCCATGACTTCGCACGCGTAAATTGTAGCCTATATCTGCCCCGTATGATTAAGCTACTCGTAGGTGAATTAATTTTTAAAATCGATTCAGTAGTTTTGGAAATAAGGCTCCGAATACAAACAAAAGCTCCGAAAGACTCCGAAACTGACTGATTTCAAAAATTCTTTCAACAACGAGAAGCTGCGTGTGACATAGACTATAATTTAAGCAGACGAAGTGCGAAAAAACAGTATTAAATAAAAATAATATAACTTAGTGCTTATATTTAAATCTAAAGCACTTACATATGGGAACATGTCGTTTCCCAGCCGCAATGGACTTCATTATCTAAAGTGCATTGCGAGCGGCATCGTCTGTTTATGAAACATTAATTAATGCGATGTTTATACTTCCATAAAAATTAATCACCATATGATTTTAGCGCTTGCAGTTTCAATATATGCACAGTTATATATTTATACTGCAATCAACCAATATATTGTTATTTTTGAATGCAGACATCTCGAATGCTTGCACAGATATTTTAATGGAGCTTGTCATGCCGCACAAGTCTTTATAACTGTTCGATTTCAAAAGAAGACATCGCTGATCTTGTTTAAGTTTTATTAATAATGTTAATAACATTTATTTAATATAAATATTAATAATAAAAAATATTATAAAAGTATATAACCATTATTGATAGACACAGTAATAAATACTGTGGCTATAGTTTTAATCTAGTTCTTTAATAGATCGTATGTTTTGTTATTTGGTGAATTATTTTAATCCATTTTGTCTTTTGCTAAAAGTTATGGTGGAAAAACGAAACTAACATACATACATACATTAACCTAAAACACACTACACTCCTTTTTTGTGCAATCGAGTAACTTTCATAATAATTATCCATCTATGTAAGTTGAGACAATGTATTATTTACGAAAAACCAAACGAATTATTACTATCCCTTGTTTGTATTACGGTCAGTGTGTGTTTATGAAAGATCTCTTTATTTTTTCACATTAGCATTATTCAGTTTACGTAACCCATTTGTTATACAGTATGTCTCCAGCGTCTTTTTTTCAGGAGATCAAAGGATCCTGGTTATAAAAGTGAGGGGCGCATCGATCCACCGTTTGACATTCGCATCACGAGTTGCAGGCCTACTGCGCCGTTACCATGACAACTGAGACCTGCGTACCTCCCGCCAAATAGTAGAGCATTGAGGAAATTTTCACATATAACTTTAAAACTATACGTATGGCATATGGAATAACGATTAATTATTATATTAAAAATATCGGTATTCTTAATAAAAAATGCTTAAAAATATCCACTTTGTCAGTGACTCGATCTCAGGACCTTTCGCAATCAAGACGACTGCTCAACTGCGACTGTCAAATCTCAGAGTGCTAGGCACAAAATTTGTTTTATTTTTTTAAGTATTTTTCATTAAGATTATTTTTCAGTATAACATTGTGAATGAAAAATTGATAAAATATATTAATATCAGTATTTCATGTAAACCATGTAAATAACATTTTTACCATTACTTTTTCCTATCAAACTTTATGTTAAAATAATAATCTGTAGGTAATAATCATGAGTAGTTCGGTGGTGTAGTGGATAAGTGCCGCGGCCCGCGATCTTTGTCGTCAAGCAACTTTCATCACGGGATGGGTGACCAAAAAATTATTATCTCGAGCTACTCCGTGCTTCGGAAGGCACGTTAAGTTGGTCTCATCTGCATTTGCAGTCATTAATACCCTCCAATCCGCATTGGGCCAGCGTGAAGGATCATGGCCCATCCTCCTTAACCATCCATAAGGAAGGCCTGAACCCCTGCAGTGAGGACATAAAAGAGCTGCTGATGATGATGATGATTTATTATGTATGCTATGACCAATGATAAATTAAAGCCACTGGCTATGACTTAATTAATAATAAAGCGCTTCGCGTACCTTATAATTTATGCTAATAAGAATACATGTACAAATAATGGCTGATTTCAAAAATAGAATATTTACAATAAACAATTGATCGCCAACAGAGCAAGTTCATTGACCTACTAGAAAAGGGTCAAATCAACAACGTGAACGAGTGTCCTTAGGTAAGCAGGAAGGTGGTGCTTCACATCCTGTATCTATTTATAGTGCGGTCGAGGGTGGCCGTGGTGCGCGCACGCAACTACTAGAGGAACGTAACCAAATATTACTTTTACCTAAAATGGAATAGTGAAATTATTTTTCAAACTATTGTTTATTTACCGTAGTACCTAACCCAAAATTTTTTTTTCTTCAGAGCAGAAAAACGTTTAATTTTTTTTATTTTATAGATTCCTGGACTTATTTACAGTTAACATTTTTTCCCCATTAGCAATAATTTATAAAAGAATATCATATAAGATAAACAAAGATTATTATCGATTTTTACTATTAAATAAATTAGTACGAGCCCATATTGAATATCAGAGGTACTATTAGTGCTCTATTTAGTGCTCAGGGATGTGATAGCTTAACTCTCAAGCTATAGGATACGACACCATAGCGATGTTATAGCGATATTTCGTTTCACATAAACTTAGTAACGAACAGGGCCGGCACGCCCATATAGACAAACTTACTTAATTTTTTTATATTTTGAGTACAGTTGACAACCCCATCGAACCGTTTGTATTGAATTAGTTTAAGACGTATAATTTTGTGAATTTATTTTGTACCTAAGCCAGACGTCTCCGAACCTTTGCAGGCTTCAAAATTGTATGTTCTACCCACATTTGATACGTACTTTGGATGAGCAAACGCACTAATACCTATTGCTGTTTCATAGGTATATTTTTTTGTTTAATTATAATAAGAGTATTTATTTGTATTCTCACCATCGTTTATTCTCAAAGCAATTTATAAAATAAATCTTGAGATTACCGCTAAGACATCGATCTTACCCTTTTTAAATTATAACGATCTAGGTCATTTCAAAAAGTTTTGAAACCAAGTACTTATATGATCTACCTATGTAATAGTTATAGTGATACGAGATTTTTTTATTGTTTATAGAAAGACAAAATAATGTTTATTACCATTAGAATTATTAAATTCTTCTATCGGTTATGTTAAATAGAGGGACGTGGAAACGTTTCTAATGTTAAAAAGATCGAAGTCTTTAAATAACATTCCAGTAAAAAAATGGTCAATTAAGTAAATTTTGTGAAGGATACATCCCTTATGACCCAGAAACTAGATATAAAAATGTTATACCCTTCCTGTCATCGCTTGATGGAACACCACATTTCTGATCTCACTAACACCTTGTCCAAACAAGACATAACGATATTAACTGCAATGTCGTGGTCATAAGAGTTATATTTCATCTGAGCCTTACGAAATCAACGCGACATTAGGCAGTTACTACAACTTTACAGTCCAAAACTTTGATACACTCAAAAAAGTTTTTACATGACTTCGTACTTGGATAGGTAAAGTCTCTGATTTGGGTATAGTTTAGACTTAAAAATACATTGTTTATATTGACAGCTGGTTTACGTAACGTACGAAACACCGCCCTACGGGCAAGGAACACCGAAAACTGAACCCACTGAAAGATATTGTATCCCTAAATGACATTGCCGGCTAGTAACATTCCTCTGACTTCGCACGTGCATTAAAATATTACAAATTTAACGCACCGCCATCTAGTAGCGAGTAGCAACACCTCTAAGTATAAGCATTACAATACATAAAATAATGTTATCTGTATTTTTTACAGATGTCGGTAAAATAAAATTGTACTATTTAGGTATTTAAAAAAAAACCTTTCTGTATTTCTTATTGATTACATAATTATTACAATTTATTTGTGCAATATGTAGATATATTGTTTATTACCAGATTCCAGTAATGATGCCTAATTTGATTCCGTTTAGTTTTGTACAAAAGGATTTATTTAACTTTTGTCTTTGACGTAACACTGACAGCTAGCTATATCTAACGTCAAAGTCAACATGTCAGCTGTTCAGTGTGTTTTTGTTTTCTATTAAAATTAAAGAAGGAATAAAAAATATATTTGTAAAATTATTCGTACTTACATATCTTTAATTATTGAATTCTTTAATCTGTATTAATACAAATTGAAGTTATTTTTCAAAAAATAACAAGTTAGAACAATTTTTATCATGGTGAAGGTTTGGAAGTTGGGGTTGATGAGTTATGACACCGCTTTAAAGATTCAACTTGCAATAGCCCGCAAGCATCTAGATGGAATGATGAAAGGCCTTCATACTGACTATGACACTTTGTTACTGGTAGAACATAAACCTGTATACACAGTTGGTAAGTTTCACACATACTTAATCAATTAAAATTTACAGTAAAATCGGAGTGAGTTCAAATAACATTGTATTTGAGTATTTATTTATAAAGTTAAATTAAACTGTAATCATGTGAAATGAGATGAAAATGTCTATATTCAAGTAATGCTTGAAACAGCATTTTTGTATCGTCCAAAAAACAATTTTTCCTCTACCACTTGTTCAAGACATCTTTTAGCTGACAAGAACAACAAGTGAAAGAAACTTATCAGCTCTTTATCATAAGTAATGACATTTACATAAATCATGTCAGTACCAAAGCAGTATGTATTATAACAATAATAAAAACAAATTTCAAAGTCTGTAGGACATAAGTTGGTACATATTATTGTTGATATAGAGCAAACCGAAGGCTATTAATTTCATTCATTGCGGTCCTTAAAATAATCATCAACTTTATAAAAGCCTTTACTCACAAGTATGTTCTTAAATGAATTTTAAATTTATTTATGGGTAGTTCAAATACATTTTGTGGAACTTTATTGAACATAGCAATGTATTTACTATATGTAGAAATGTTGTCAGAAATGTTAAAACAATTTTTTGCAGCTTATATTTATATCAATTTCAAATAACCAAAAACATAAAATTCATATACCTTACAACAACGAAGGTTAAGTATCTGTTTTATTTAGAAAATACTTAATTTTAATTAAAATCAAAATATAGTAACTTAGGGTTTGCTTTGTTTAGCAGATTGTGGATTCAATAAATTAAAAAATATTGAATTTGTTGTAAGACTGACTACTTTTAATAATCACCTATTTTTTTCTAGGTATAAGGGATGACACACCAAAAAATGAGATAATGAGGTTACAAGACCTCGGAGCAGATTTCAGAAAAACAAACAGAGGTGGATTAATTACATTTCATGGTCCTGGTCAGCTTGTTGTGTATCCGATTATTAATTTAAAACATTTTAAGACAAGTGTGAAGTGGTATGTCAATACTTTAGAAGAAACTGTCATAAAAATGTGTGAAGAGTTAGGTAAGTGTAACTGTAATAATTTTTTATATTAAAATAAAGATTATTATATTTCACTTTAATATTTGATATAATAGGGATAATGCCTGCTTAAAAAACCAATTCTACTTATTCATCAGTCAAGAATATTAGATACATATATTGTTTACTTCAATTTAATAAGAAATAGCTTAGATAATAGGTGTTAACGTTGAGAAGTGGAAGGTTTCACAAATATATAGAAAATGTATTCCCAAGTGCTTGTAACCCAAATCTATTTGAGGCAATAGTGACACGAGTAAATAGATTCCTTCTGGGCAAGCTCGTACCACAGTAGATCTCATTCATGTATTAAGCTGGAAGTATGATGTCATATGACATTTCAACTCAATGTATTGCTGTAATTTATTGATTATGCAAAAATATTATATTTGTATTTAAAATTCTTCACTAAGTCTAACAGACTGACAGACAAACAAAAATTATTCATCATCCCTAATAACTTCACAGAGATAAGTTCAGTTACATGTTTGTAGCTCGGTGGCGTAGTGAATAAGCGCCGCTGCCCGCGATCGTTGTCGTTAAGCAACTTTTACAAGGGTTGGTCACGGTCAAAAAATTATTATCTCAAGCTGTTCCCTGCTTCGGAAGGCACGTTAAGCCGTTCGTCCCGGTTGCATTTGCAATCGTTAATACCCTCCAATCCGCATTGGCATTTAGTTGAGATATTGAAAATTTTATTTTAATTTAAATTAAGTATAATATTATGCAATAGTCAGTTAGGTAACTTTTGCAGATCGGTCAACTGACAAGTGAGGTAAAATTTATTATACAGAGCTTTTTTATGCTTCAGAAGTCATGTTAAACTGTTGGTTTCGACTGCATCAACACTTTTTAACACCCAACAATCTACACAAGGACTAATACCTACTGTATGTGATTCTCGAACATGATCATATGCCAATGATATAAACATTCACAGGTATCAAAGCAAAGAGGTCTCCTCACACTGGGGTGTGGGTAGATGACAACAAGATAGCAGCTATCGGAATACATGCCTCTAGATATGTTACGACACATGGCATTTCTTTGAACTGCGATAACGACCTCAGCTGGTTTGATCATATTGACCCTTGTGGCATAGATGATATGGGTGTCACTTCACTCACAAAGGAAACAGGTATTAAGTGTTCTACTGACAAAATGAGTCCAATATTTTTAAGACATTTTCAGAAGACATTTGGTTGTGACAGTGAAGAACTTGATTCTAAAATAAAAGAAGAAATACTAAGCAATGTTTATAGTAAATTAATGGTACAAAGTGAATGTTGATATAAATTGAAAATTATAATTGATTTAATTTATTTGAATATGTAGATCTGTTAAATGTATAAAATCTATACATGTTGATTTTATAAATTTTGTTGAAAATAAAACAAAGTATAAATTTGTACAAATTTAATTTCATTAGTTAATTATAATGAAAAAAATAAATAGTAAAATATAAAAATTAGGCTAAATAAATAAGACAGAAATCTCAAGTTGGGTTAAGAGAAACAAAATTTGTGTTTAACTTTGTGGTTATATAAGTACACCATAAATACATAGTCTTTCAAGAATATATTTCTTCAAAACCCAACTGAAAGTTCTTAAAAATATCTAAATATTAGAACCAAATAGATATAATTATGTATATATAAAAAATATTTACAAAAATCATATTTAAAGTTTTTGACATTGAAAAATGAACTACAATAAAATGTAGACCAAAAGGTCACAAAAAGTTGAAATGTCTCGAAAACTTATGTTACTTGTGTATTACGCAAAAATATTTTTTTTTTGTTGTAGATTCCACCCCCTTTCCTCACATCCTTACTTGTAATTAATATGATTGAAACCTGCTTACGTAATACTTCAAACACTAAATAATTTGCCTTAACTATAACTCGATTCACCTACATCCAATTTAAATCATTCGGAATAATCCCACAAAAATAATGTATTACTATAGAAATGCCTTAATCTTTGGGGACTATTCCAAAATTTTCGCGTATAACTTCTAATAAGTACCATGTACTTCACAATTGTACAAAACACTGGTTATCACTTAACAATTAATAAATGCATTGTCTTATATTAAATTTACTAAACCCTATAAACGTTTAGGGCAACAAAATTTATCAAACACTTCTATTATAAATTCAGTTAATGTAAAAACGTAGAGTATATTTATCTATTACTGCTATATAGTAAAATTATCAGTGTTTATATTCCTAATTAATATTAATAAATGCTTTTAAATGCAATAAATTACCACTAAAATTAAATGCAAAACACGCGGTGGTCACAATAATATCATAATAATAAATCAGATGTTAACACCACGAAAAGTAATACTTATAGATATGGACGGAATTTGACCTGTGAATGTGAAATTTATCATCAGTCATTTGTATCACAAGTTCCTTGTTTGGAACTTCTGTACTCGGGTTAGCCTCTGAGCTGCGTTACAATGTACGATTACGACATGTGCTTAGGGGGTGAGAGCCATTTGCGCATATAGTAGCAAAAGATTGTTGCGATGTAAAGCAGAACTAGCAACGCGCATGCCACTCCAAGGAGGAGTACCGACGCTTTGCTGGGGCAAGGCTCCACAATTGTCACAGTTTTTTCTGGAAAGATATTAAAACCTTTATTAGAAGATAACGTTGAGGACTCCTATTTAACTTCAATTCTCTCTCCAAATGTAAATCCTTAAATAAAACGTCTTACAACAGAAAATGTATTCCGTAGAAGGTTGCATGTAAACTTACCACCGTAATTTGCTTCGGAAACTGTACCACCAGGTTTATCAGATCTTAGGAAGTCTGTGCTTTGTCTCTCGTCGCCAAAGTCCAATACCAAGATCTCCTGAGAAATGTTCATATTTTCTTCTTGCGAGTGATTGTCTGTATCGTTGTGGGGCAACGAACGCTTCTTCCTACCCCAGGATTCAATGGACTCCATAGCCCATTCGCACACGGCCTGAAATATTACACCATAAGTCTCATTAACTGTGACGACCGTTTCAAATGGCAAAAGAATCTTCGCGTATGCGTCACTAATGATAGTAGATATAGTCCTAATGTGCAGAACTTTTTTTGCATTGCTATGAAGTCATGCCATAATGACCTGTGCCGGCCATCGCGATATACTTACATAACCGCTTACATTCTCGCTTCCTTTTATTTCTTTTAGAAAAGTGAGGTGACCTGTTGTATATTTTGCATTATTATAAATGCCCGTTGGGTATTTTGAAAGGCTCTTTGGTGCTGTACTGATCCCAATGATAAAGTAGAGAAGAGATGGTTGGGTATATTAAATAAAACATATTACAGCCAGAAACCATAAAAACAGGCGAGTGTAGAGTAACGAATGTAATTAAAGCGAAAGATATGTAAAGACCATCTCTTTTTGACTGTCGGTCGTCTTTGTTTACCCTACAAGAAACCCGGAGTGAAGATATATATAGATTGACTCTGTCATACTCACCGGTGAACAAGGACCAAGGCAGTATTTTACGTTGCATTGGAAGATTACTCCGTATGATTCAGTGAATCTGAAAGCTTCGTAAACGGTTTGCAGCGAGTTCCCATCTGGAGTGAATGCAGGGAAGATGGATGGATCCACGGGGCAACTGAAAAATGCAATACTTTTTGAATTTTAAGTTTTCAAAGTCAAATTAGATCTGACGAGCGTCATCGATTTGATGTAAAAAATTTAAATTAATATATCGGTTAAATAAAATAATCCCTTGAAGTCTTTTCATTATAAAGTAACAGGAGCATGTATTTTAAATCGGACAAATGAATACTAGACCCATTAGTATTTAATATCATCCATAAATTATAATTTATAATATGTTCGATATTATGGTCAAGTAACTTGCGGTCTTATATTTTTGACTCTTCTGAAATTCCGTGTTCAATTCCCAGGCGGATGTTTTCAATGTTTTTTTTTTTTATTTTCTCTAGTACAAGCGATTTATTTTACTTGTTATCTAAGCATTTTATGCATATATGCCTAGAAATATTTCAATAGTATTGGAAAATCTGTGAATTCTATCAATGATTAAATATAATTACATACCCTTCATCATCGATAATTTGGATAGTAGTCTTGGAATCTTTGGCCATAGCAACGCAGCTGCGTGCGAAGATACCATACGGCGCTGGAAAAAAATATATTATAAAATATCGTACCTATACGAGAAAATATCTAAGATTATCTTATATGTCGTATACTTACTGTCTTCTGGAATTTCGATACGGAATGTGAGGCGGTCTCCTATACGCACAGTCTCAACCTCCCTTTGGTGTGCATCCAGAATGCGAATGCGTGGTGATGGTGCTTCAGGAGATGCAGTGATAGATATCATCTCTGGGTCTCTGAAATTTATTTTTACAGATAAATACATTTTATTATTAATTCTTACTAAACAGCTGTTTCCGTCTACTGCCCTAAGCCCTGAAGATGTAGGTACCTATTTTTTAAATCAATATTCGGTTTACCACTTTGTTTAAAATTAAAATGTTTTGTTTATCTTTTGATTTTCTATCCTAACTCTTACTTAAGTATTTTTTAATGGTGCATATCATAACCTGTAGCATAAACTATTGCATTTTAAAGGATCTGCATAAACTTTAAAACAAAAAGAACAGATATTGTAAGTTACTACTGAAGTACTAAATAATTGGTTTGAGCGAACTATTGCATTACCTACCTGTTATGACAGTGCAAGTAAGTTGCAAACGTTTATTTAAGATGATTATGTATGGTCGTGTGCTGATAATGAACACGTATCCTATAAAAACAATGTTTTCGGACAACGTTCAATTATAAATACTTGTTGTGTGTTCAGAGAAACATAACTAGTCTGCTTCACACGTTGTGACAGCTTTTACATAAAAAGCTCGACACATATTGCGATCACGATGCATAAAATTACATTCATTGACAGCACAAATGGTGATTGCAATCGTTATTCAAGTAACTTCATTAAAAACTCAGTAATAAATTGTAGTTATATTGCATTGCTGTGCACATCACGTCAATCTTTTCTATACTGTATGTGAATCTAATTGTAACCCATTTACGAAGTCCGATGGGATTTTAAATTCATTTATAACTTCTTTTTTTTTGTCTCCCGATCACGTATACTCGCTATTGAATAAATTACGCAGCCTACGTGAACTTAACATATATTCGTACACCTGCTTGTGCTTAGAGATACGTGACTCACGCACTAACCTGATTGGCACCATTCCGAATGTGATGTTCTTTGAACTCATGTCGTACGTACATTTCACTTTGTATATCTTATCGGCTTTTGTCATTACCACGCTATGATGTTGTAGGACAACTGTGTTCGAGTAAACTCCAGTCTAAAAAGAATTTTAATCCATTAAAAACATGCAGATTGTTATCAAAATACCTAAACGTCTATTCTGAAAGTAAATAAACTTACGACGCTCTGTGTGTTGCAATCTTGTCCAGCCATCGTGAGGTCCAGTCTGAAGAGATCGCTATTAACTACGTCGATGTTACATGTCTCTGAACGGCCCAAGGCATAAATCCGACCGTTGAAAGGTCTGTTTGTGCGGACCTGTACCGCGATTCTCGTATCCTTGCATAGTACCGACACTGGAAAATTGTTTGAGAAATATATGATAAATTTTAATCCAGAAATAATGTTTAAGTTAAGGCTTGTAGTTAGTGATGACATAGGGAACTGAGGTACGGGTACCAAACCTAAAGGACTCGAAAGAAGGTAGACCGATACATCTACCAATAACATCCACCCGCTAAAACTAGTTGTATTACTTATCTCTTTGCTTTAGTTACTCCTTGATCATGACGTTTGCAACAGCGCTAAAACATCAGGAACTCAAATACCGTAGAAAACTATCATTCTAATGCTTGTAATGTTATGTCAGTAAGGACCCAGCATAATGGACAAATAGAATTATGTCATTATAAAACAAAAAACAACATTTAGATTCCAGTATTGTTAATGGTCAATCTACCTGCAAAAATTACTTAAACTTTCCCAAATATTGTTGTCACGCACATGAAAATTCCTATCTCACTCTGAATTTTACTGAATTTATTTAAAACTTATTGTATTCATTAGATAGACGTATATTGTTATGGGGTTCTGCGGCTAGCATTCAGGATGTTTTTATTTTACAAAAGAGAGCTGTCCGTGCTATATATAATTTACGGTCTAGGGAATCTCTAAGAGAAAAATTTAAAGAAATAAATATTCTGACTGTTGCCTCTCAATACATCTATGAGAATATTATGTATACAAGAAAACATTACGATTCCTTCACAAAAAAAAGTAGTGTTCATAATCTTAACACAAGATATAAAGATAAACTTGCCGTTCCAAGCTTCAGACTTCAAAAAACCAGAGGATCATTTCTGGGTAAATGTATTGCTATGTTCAATAAAGTTCCACAAAATGTAATTGACCTACCCATAAATAAATTTCAAATTCATGTAAAGAATATACTTGTGAGTAAAGGCTATTATAAAGTTGATGATTATTTTAAAGATCGCAATGCATGGAATTAATAGCCTTCGCTTTGTTCTATAAAGACTAATTATATGTTCAACTTATGTCCTACAGACTTTGAAAGTTGTATTTACTATTGTGATAATACATATTATTTTGGTAATGACATGATTTATGTAAATGTCATTACTTATGATAAAAAGCTGATAAGTTTCTTTCGCTTGTTCTTCTTGTCAGCTAAAAGACGTCCTGAACAAGTGGTAGGGGAAAAAAGTTTTTTGGACGATTCAAAAGTGCTTGTAATAGCCTACTTGAATAAAGATATTTTCATTTCATTTCATTTCATAGAGAACCGCCAATAATATTCCGACGCATTAGCTCCTTAACCATCTCAGAAACTAGTTCACCAAATTAAGTACCTTTACTGAGTCCAGCGAGAGAAAAAGTTGTGTAATTACCGTCATAACAAGTGCCAGTCTTGTCGCAGTTAGCGTCATTCCTTGTCAGGTTGCTGGACGTGTTAGTGTCCTGCTGATGCTCGATTGTGACGGGGAGCTCGCCGCCCGGGTTGGAGTTGCTAGGTGGTTCTAAAAGAAATATAAGAAATCGTCATTATTATTACACTGTAATTTCAACCACTCGTGTTCAAATGCATAATCTGGGCGCAATAAAAATTGCGACTAATGAACCTGAACAAATCTATGAGTCGGGGTTCTTATTTATAAGCGAAGCGCCGATTATGCGTAGGGATACTGCGTGCAGTGTGTGTATCATCATAATCGATACAAGATTGCGGCGTAAAAGCAGAGAGCTCGGTGATTTTAAGTACATTCTACTTTCTGCAATTACAATGTCTACCTATGTGCCGCAATCCGTGCAAGACTAGCTGCTCGGAGCAATTCTAGAATTTCACACGCATCTGATAAGTATACTAAGAAATTTTGCTCAACATCTTAACAAATGGGTGCTGTTAAAACATCATGAAGGATACATCATAACTTTGTCATTAGATATGCTCAGGAGCTTTATTTTAACTGACAGTAATCTTGTCATAATAAAGTCTAAGTACTGTTGTTTGAATAATTATTTTTAGTACCTACTTTAGGTAATAAGTTTTTTCAACTTTTCATAAATCTAATTTTCTAATAAAAATATTATAAAGTCTTCATAGGATGTTTCGTAATTAGCAAACTGTATGGTACCATTGCACCTGTATCATTCTCCGATAGCACCTTTTATCGAAATTCGATTCAGTCATGGTTGGATGCTCTTCGAAGTCGATGTCAACGGGTCTTTTAAGGAAATTAAAAAGTATTTATTCATATTCTTTTAAAGGTACCGAGCCCGGCTTGGAAAAAATAAAGACACGATAAAAGAACTTATCTTCTCAAAATATGCCTTTATCAAAATAACTCTGGTATTTAAAGACTCAACACTATAATCAGTTTTAGTTACAATTTTATACCCCCATTTTTAGAGCGAATTTAGAGATATCAGTCATTATGTACAATTGCTGATTACAAAAAAATAATAGTAAGGGCAGTAGTCAAAGAAATGTTACGCGGAAACTGGCGCTGGCCGGTGAACCGTAATCGATTCGTTAGCATAGTGCCGATGTCTCGACATGTTCCGACCGTCGCCAATAATGAGGTGACGTGGACTACGATTTCGGACGTTGACCGTTTGACAAAGGAGCAACTCGCCAACGAAACAGACTAAAGGTCACGAAAGTCATTTCCCAAAAATGTAGATCCCTTTAGGTTTCTTTCAACAACGACAACTTTTTCAATCTATTGCACTGACTGCTTCTACAGCAAGCTACATTTCTATTGCATTACTCATATGTGTAAATCATCGTAAATGTAAATATTCGCTGTATTTATATACTCAGTTTTATATACAGTAAGCTCCGTCTAAATAAGCGTTCTAAAATTGGGAATGGCTAGATCTGTCATTGGCCTGACCATTTTGTGGAGCTGATTAATGACACTTTACAGGAGGCCGGCCGTACCGATTTCAAATATCAATCAATATGATTTTAATACGCTGTCTTTTATGGTTAGGTCCCTGACATGCCTTGCTGCCTTATTTATTTTAATAGTCTCCAATGATTTATGAACGCCAACGACGTTTAAGTAGCTTGGTTTTAGTTAATCACAGGTAATTGTTTGACCAATGCCCAGTGCAAAATTAGTTTTTGTATCTTTTTAGATTTATCATTAAAACCAATAAATGCGGTATTAAACATTCTGATACGTATTTTGAGTCTAGATGATATTTTATAGCATCAGGCTATTATATTTAACCAGAGTTGAATAAAAACTAATTGAATTTCACATCGACGGAGTAATAGAGATATTAAAAGTCAAGCAGACAGCAATATCAAGTATGGAAACCTCCCTTTCTTTATAATTTTAGTTTTTGCCTACGCCTATCCTTCGTTGTCAGAAGTCGATGACACTACAACCATGTTCGCAACGCTTCACCGAATAATAAAAGATGACCAATTCCCACGCCGCGGCGGCCGTTTTCTAAGCGTTGTCCGAGAATCGTTCACAAAACCTAGGAATTATCGATAAATACAAGAACTTTAGGACTCCAACTATAGATTTATTATATATAACGGCAACTAGTTAATAGCAAAGAAAATATAATAAGTAATATTCAAAATTGTAAAGTATATTAACATGGAAGTACCTGCTCACAGACATATTAATATTCGAATCGATCTGTCACAACATGCTAGTGAAAGATTTTAGTAAGTGTCCTTAATATTTATTGCACGAGTGTTCGCTTTGATTATATTTTTCTTTGAATTTATAATAATCTCGAGGAGAGAATTTTTAATGGAAACGGTTTGGTGCAGTGGTTAACGCGTTGGTTCTGAGATTTGGAATTTGCTTCTCGATGCTTCGGAAAGCAAATTAACACTGAGTAATCCGCACTAAGCTCGCATGGTGAGTCTGGCCCATTTTCGTTATTTGAATACCAACCATACAGAATGAAAGGTTAGAACAGGAACTAATCTTGTCCATAGAGCTTTGAAATAATTTACTGTCTTAATTTCAAGATTCCGTACGCATTCCTGTGAGCAAAATACCTTCGTTATGAGGTTGTCTATGATTATACTGTTTGTTAAACATAGGTCTATCATCGTCAACATTGTTTATGCCTTTGAGTAAGAAGTCAACGACGCAGTTAGAGAAAGTTAGCAGGGAGGATGCCGAGGTAAAAAAAAAGTAATTCTATTAAGTCCATCGGTCTGATAATAGAAAAGTATTAGATATTTATTTTTTTTTCTTTATTTTAATAATAGGCATTCAAATTGAGGTGTTTACTACATCACAACTATATAGAAAACGTACCTACAAAGTTGTTACGTCACGCGACATTTCAACTTAATGTATCGCCGTGATTTACGCAAACAATGATTACGCAAAAAAAAAATATTTATTTAAATATTACATAATTATCTTCCCGACGAACAACCAAACACAAAAATCTCATCTCTATTCTAATAATTTAAATCCTTTCGATCGATATAGCGAAACATGTCTAAACAATATAATATATATTATTTTTACCTTCCCGCAAAACAGTATTTGCAGGTAAGCTTAGTATTTTGTGTAGGAGGACATTTCATATTTTGTAAAAAGCTGACAGCTGATCACAGATATAGGTAAAATTGAAATAATCGTTTTTCTTATTAACACTCGCCTGCAATCCCGAAAAAATAGAGACAGGCCGTGGATCATATATGAGTTTTCTTTTGTTGACTAAATTTTAACAGATTTCATGAAATGTTCAAAACATACACTTACCTACTGCAATATCGCTTTAAACTGTAACATAAACTCTATACATAAATTCCGTATAGCATTAAACCAATTATACACCTATTTGCAATAAGTCTCATTTTAACAAATGGCACCGATATTCAATAGCAGCAATAATAAAATGCATATAGGTTCGATATTCGATTAGCAAATGCCGCGGGGGCAGTGACCTGCACTGCGCCAGCGCCTCGCAAGGCCGACCAAGGCCGTTATATAACAACTTACAACGATTATTAATAGGTGACTGAGTTTATTTACATCAATATATGTATACGACACTAGGCACTTCACTTGTGGATATAAAAAGATATTTGAACGAAAATATGTTTTATACATTTGCAATGACTTCATCTTTTACACATTCTATCCATAGTTCAAATTACCAGAAAAAACACAGAAAAATCACAAGTAACAGACACTGAGTATTTTCTAATCGTTTAGTTAGGTACTTAAAAACAAAACGTTATTATATTATATTTTTTATTCAAATATTTTTAATCGTAACGGGTATAAAAACAAAGAAAAAAAATTGTTATACCTATATGTACATTATTTGGCAATAAACAATTCAATGATAATTCAACGACGACGTAATTGAAAAAAATAAGATGTAACAGCGTGCATGTACGCCGCTTATTTTATTCTACAAAATGATACGACTTTTTATAGAACTGTCAGAAATAAATAATACATTTTATGATATTAAAACTTGTGTTTGCAATTACTACGATAAAAATAAAATATTACGATATATTTTTCCATTTTTTCTCTCTAAATGAACTCAAATTAAAAGTTATCGCCAATAATAAGTTTTTCAAATTTTATAATATAACTTAGGTCACTTATGTGTATTTCATTTGAAATTGACTTTTTTATAATTATAAAATATTTTTATATGTGAACAATAAATATGCAGTACTTTTTGTTTAAAAATAAATTAAATGTAATCAGTGGATTACAAATCGCGAGTAAATTCAATAATAAACGTGAACGTTTTTATTGCGAATGCAGCCAGTGCTCGTGTTTATTGAAATGTGACGTCACTGCTTGATATGTCACGGGACTAATTGATTTCGCAGTACAATGTAAATTGATGAATTAAAATTTGTTTTTCCTTTATTTTATAACACATTTTGGACAATATAAGAAAATTGAGGGTTAATATAATCTTGTGTGTGTAAAGGGGGAAAATTTTATAATATTGTTTCCCAAAACAGTTAATAAACCAATTAACCTAAAGGCGTTCCTTAAAATGCAGATATTTATACTGAACTAAACTGGTAACTTAATACTAAAATGGTAACTGAAAAATTAAATATCCAACTATCGCATTTCTTTTATCAGGCGAAGGAATTTATAGTTCAAACAATATTTAAATTTTTTAACTAATTTAAAAGGCAATAATGAAACGTTACTACGTTGTTGATTGAATTTTAATTTTTCTAGTCGTTAGGTCAGTTGAATATTATATACACCACAATATATGCAATAAATAAATGATTTATTATTCGACATATTTAGCGACTATGTTCTTAAAAAGTCGTCTACTATACTAAGAAAAAATTAAAATCATCCAAGATCCGGTATAGTTCTATGCTCTATGTTAGCGCTCCAATATCATCCATCGTCCATTGCTTTCAATGTCCGTCGTGATTCAATTTATTGACGAATTAGGGTTGTGCTACGACGAAACCGATCTCACGGCAAAAAACACTATTCAATTTGTGTACAGGGCAACCGTTACGGACGCA